ACGAGGCCTAAAGCGAAAAGTAGATTTCACGCGGAAAAAGGCTCGCGACCGGTGCACTCCATTCAAAGGAGTGCTAATGTGACGAAACTTTGCTTTGGATTGCATTATGTAATGAAAAGTTATTTCTATCTATTTTTGTCGTGAAATTATTGACCACCACTCCCCAAGCTTGAGTCTCCCAAATACTCGAGACTCTATTCACGTTCAAACATAAGTATAGAAAAGGCGAGGTTAATTGAAAACTTGTCAGTTGTGATAATGTCAAGTTAACCTGGTCGAGAACTGTAATATTTTTTAAACAGATACCTGATATTTAATCACAACAATGTCTTTTAACTTCGCTATAATGCCGCCTGGGTTATTTTTAAATTGAATTTAAATGTTAATTAAGTAATCATTTAAATTAGTTAAATTGTTTTCAACTTCAATTATTAACCCTCTAATATTCACTTTAAAATTAAATATCACGGTTTTGCTTAATTTAAGGTGGTTCCTACAGTTTTATCTAGGCTGCACACGATTGTGCTGGAAAGATAATTTTTGTCATGTCGGCAGGTTTGATCACGAAACTCGGCCACGTAACTGCTACATCATCGCAAGTTAGGAACAATTAACAATTTCATTAATAGTTTATGTTGATATGGTAACAGGGTAATAAACGCCGATTTCCATATTTGATACTTTTATAAATTTTCTCCGTTTAAAAATTTTAAATTCTTTGCACACAGGAATACTGTATTACCTATATTTAGCTTAAATTATCTCATTTAAAAAGATTGTACAAACACTTAGCTAATCCTAAAAAGGTCCTGTTTTAGAGTGCAAAAAATAGCCTCGTTCGATTTCATATGAGACGGGACAGATGTTGATGTTTTCATATGACATTCAGGCGCTCCATATCAATGCAATTTTAGAAATATAGTGAAATAATATGTGAAGCGAAATCCAAGCTCTGCCAAGCTAGCCGGAGGAAATTTAATTCATTCTTTCTTGACAATATCAGGTCTTAAAAAACTGCAAATTTCCGAGTGAAAAGATGTCGATTACAGAATAATTATGCTGCTTCAAACTGTGATATGCAAATTTGCGTGAAAACGATGCCCGCCAAGGATGACGGTAGGAGGCTGTATGTTGTCTTCAAACGGAATTTGTTGTCGCCATATGAACGGGTGATTTTTTTCCAAGAGAGAAAAAGCAGATATTTGACAACATTTGCATCGATAAATACAATTTTGTAAGAAAAATTACAAAGATAATAAGCACGTTAGTGGCGAAGAAATTTTGTTGAAAAGACGTCAGTTTGTGAATAGGTTTCCATTACTGAATTCTATACGCGAAAACTTCGCAGGGACTAAAAGAGGTGAGTTGGCTTCACCCGCGATGGGCTGCTTTTTCAAACGTATAATCTCAATTGGTTTTGGGGTTTTTTTCACTGGAACTTAAGGTTGTTTTAAAAACAACATTAAATTTTGATATTTGTGTAAACGAACTATGTTAGCCAAAATATTGTTTGAATAGCTATTTGAAAGACTTGTAGTCGGGCAAAATTTTTTCGGTTTTTTTTACCGCGAATATATCTGAATTCAAATCAGTTGAATACAGTAAGAAGAAAATATGCGTGCATGTTGTTAAGCATGAAAGTAAAAGTACTGATTCCGAGTGACTGAAAATTTTATTTACTCAGCCGTGGTTTGTAGCAAGATTAATAATTTTTTTTCCCACATGTACCGGTTTTATTCCAATAAACCGTTATTATCGAATAACCTTATCGAAATGAAACAAATTTCATTACTTTCATTACTTAGAGGATAAACTAAATTGTGGAGATATTATTTTTCAAATTCGGGACATAATTTTGGGATGTCCCTAAAGTATGTAAAATCCGCCGTATAAAGATATTAATTAACTTTTCTCAACTGGTGACGAAGCGCGCACTAGTTTAACATTAGACACTTGAATTGTTAAACTGTTGAATTATGCTACACCACCACAAATTCTGCCGAAAATTTATTGAAAAATAAGTTAGGCACATGTCCAATTATTTCTTTAACGCATGGAATGTTTCATCATTATTTTCTTCCATTTTGCATAATTTACACACAATTGTTAATATGGCATTAACTTTGAACACTAATGTATCTGTTAATTTTTTTAAGTTCTAAACTAAGTCTAAATTTACGTCCTACTGGTTTCACTATAGTTAAAAGTTATTACTCGAGTTAAGCCGACAGTCTTTTAATTTGGGTCTGTCTTTTTGCGCAAGCAAGACTTATTCTCTAAAGATTTTTTTCTTTAATGTCGATAATTATTATATATAATTGCGCCACAAAATCCTCACTATAACAATGGGGCCGGGAACATGCAGTTCTTGTATGATTTTAAACTCGGAGTTCGAGTTAAATTAAGCCGTTTTTCAGCGACATTTTTGACACACTCACGTTTCACTTAAATTTGCATTTAGTTAATTAGTAAACATTTAAATTAGTTAAAATGTTTTTAATATGAATTATTAATTTTCTAATATCTATTTTTTAAAGGAGTAGTCAGATGTTTTTATATCCACAGTTTGGGATAATTTAAATAATGTCTGTTAATATATAGGCGCTTTTAATCATAAGAAATTTTAGCGGTTTTTCCGCATTTAATACGTGACTACGTGGTTTAGGTGCAGAGGAAATTTCAACCTTTCCTCGCAATATCAGTTTCATTCAAAGTAATTTCTTTTTGACAAAACTTATCGAAAGAAAACAAGTTTCGCTAGTTAGAGGATAAACCAACTTAGATATGATAATCTACAGTTGTATTTTTAAAAGAAAATTGATGGAGATATTACTTTTCAAAATCAGTATATTATATATTTCTTTAAAATATGCAAAATACACTGTATAAAGATATTAATTAAACTTAGCTCAACTGAACGCACTATTAACAATGACACTGAACAAACTTGGCCGATCGAAATATATCCTGGTCCCATGTGATGACATATTTTTTACCATCTTGTTGGCATTCGACGGCTCATTCAACTTCCTGCTTCTTCAGTTTGTGCTAAACTTCAGTTGCGACTCGCGGATGCCGTGAGGATTGCTTTTCACCCTTCTGGCATACGGTACGTGACGTTAAAAAGTGTCTTTAATAATAGTGCTTTTGCTAAGCGTACTCTACTAAATAATTAATATTCCGTGCCTTCATGGTGTAATAATAACGATAGTCCGGGGGGTTTTGAGATTAGACAAATTGGTATAATAATAACGATGGGGGAGGTGGGGGGTTGTTGAGATTAGATCAATAATGAAATTCTCTTCAAATGTCATCTAAGATTATGCTTAATAGAAGTCTAATATGTAAAGTTTTAAAACAAACAGATGTGCAGACTGAAGTAAGTAAACTTAAGTAAACAACACATGCTTATCTTTAAATACTAAAACACCCCAAGCGGTTGCCCTTTTAGTATTTTTCGGTGTGGATTCATTTATAATTAGATTAATTTCCTCTTCGCTCTCTTCGCTCTCTTCGCTAAGTTCGGCAAATTTTTTGTTTGTTGCCGCCATTTTGATAGTGCAATAAAACCTGTAACGGCACTGCCGTGGCGTTCTTGTTATATAACATTCACTCACGTGGTACAAATCGACCAATCAAAACGTAAGTTTACAAAAATGAATATTAAATCTCGATATCTGATGTTTTTGATTGCCAATATCTTGCAAAGTGAGAAAGATAAACAATTTTTTTGAAAAAATTGCCAATAAGAAGTGTAAATTTTCTTTTCAACAAAATAGAAATAATTTTTATTGCCATCATCTCTTTAACATGTCAATAATGAAGTAAAAAAGCTTTGTTGCTTTTTGTCCCGGCCTTTTATCATTTTAACCGCGTATTTATGTCCAATAACAGCATCCTAGTGTCGCACACCATTTTTCAAAGTTTGCATGTTAGTTAAGATCGCGATTTAAAACTGAGGCAATAATACAAGCAATTATTCCAGTTTGGATTGACGTCATCAAGTTTCAGTTCTCTTACTTTCCTTTAAATAGACAAGCTTCATTGCAAAGGCTAACGCTATATTTAGCCATGCTTTTCTCACCAAGTCAAGAAGCTCTGTATTATCCAGTCAAAAGACAGTGGAATTCAAATGTGATTAAGCTTGTTGCCACCAGCTTGACCTTGCTGCTTGTACGTGCAAATATCAACACCAGTAGTTGTTCTCAGAAGAGATACGACGCCATAATAAAAGGTGGGTTATTTTGCTTGTTGCTTACCTGTAGAAAATAAAATTATTGTCAACAAGTGTCTTTCTTATAGCACATACCTACATTAGGAAATCCATTAGATACTTCCTAATATTCAAAATATCATTCAGCTGATTATAGGATTAAATATTTAGGAGGCTCATCATTACCCTCTGATGAAATAATATCAAGACACAAAGTAACATCTGAGTTTGCAATGTTTGAATGTTACACACTCTGCAATGGTGAAGAAAAATGTGTTGGTTTCAACTACAGAACAACACAAAGTATCGAAAATTGTCAACTAACAAACGTCACCAACAACAGAGGCAACTCAAAGAAAGGAGATTGGATATTGATGCGTCTTGATCATGTAGCGGTAGGCGGAGTATATTGGTTAAAATTTAGGATATTTGAGAATAGTGGTAAAAATGACGTGTTTTAAAAATACGAGTCATGAAAATGAAAGTCTAAATCGCTTTATAGAGAATAATAGATAAGAGTTCGGTGAAAGGCGATGGCCACTATTACCAGTTCGAACTTAAGTTCATAAAAACGTTTTAACATAAAAATATAGCTAAGATAACATTGTTTCCTTGACAAAAGCAGAGGTTATATTGATGCAATTTATAACGCCATTTAAAGGTTGGTGAGAGAAGCAATCCTGGAAGATCGTGTTTAGACATTCTTGAACGAAAAAAAACAACATATTTGGGAAATGGTGAATACTGGATTAAATTGGACAATAAAAGATTAAAAGTTTACTGTGACATGGAAAGTGACGGAGGTATCATTATTGCAATCATGCTTATTATTATTTTTTCCCTTTTATAATAGTCTAGTATTACAAAATAATAAAAATTATTGAAATCAAAACGAAAAAATTTAGATTGAGTACGAGCTTTGATATGCTTGAATGCGCCAATGAGATTGTCAATTCATTTTCTATTTCATTTTCCATTTCATTCTATCCATTCATTCACTTCACGTTTTAACGGTTGAGGAGGCAGCACCTCTTTGATAACAACGCGCGAGACCCCAGCTAGGTTGCCAGCTAGTATACGCTTATCCAATTTCATATACTTTTTCCGCGGAAGCGACTTAGTATGAGATACACCACAGCTGCATCTAGTCTACAAAACGTTTTACCTTGTAGGTGGCTGGACGCTGGTCAGCAACCTGGTTCTAAATCAGTCGAAAAGTATGGATTTGTTTCTGACAAATGATTATAAACAAATAAGTGAATATAAAAACCAAAAGCTCGCTCTTTCAACATTTGCTCTCCGCGACCTCGCATCAAACATGCCGTTCAATCAACTCAGATTTTTCTGTCGCAAAAAGATCCCGGGACGAATATTTCATATCGCCACTAATAAATCCAACAGTCTTGGTCAAGAAGTTGTTAAGTATTTTACTGCTCAGACAAACACCCCTCCCAAGAGCTGTGGATCTTATTATCGTTTACCTGATGACAATTCAACGATGGCCAGTCAGTGTTCTCGGTGGGGTGTTGAATCGGGAATATTCGAGGTTGGTAAATGGAATCACGATGGCGTTCCGGTGAAAGAGCGTTTAATTGATCTTTCGGTGTTTATTGTCCACAAGGCTCATTGGTTCAATAAGCAATTAAGTGACCGCGATTGGGAATGCGATGATTTACGTGAGCCAATATCGCAAAATGATTTTTGGAAGATATTCGTTCGCTGAAATGCTCGTCTGCTGAACATAGGTGCAATTTGTCTGCGCATGCGCATGTGTTCATGGAATATGCGATGTTTAATGTGTGATGGAATATGCTATACTTTGTGGAATACGCTATGTTGAAGTCTTAATTTCTGTGCTAACAATACTTGTGATGCGTTAATGAGGCTTTCTTAATCAATTCATTATATTATTGGGGTGTAATATTAGAACAATTTCAAAATCTTAGCATCAAATGTGGTATAACAACTGCCTAAAATAGACAAGAGACTTCTAGACGTTTCGACCTAAGGGCCTTCGTCAAGAGATTAATTATGAAAATAAATAGGGGACAATACATGTTTTGTATATAGGGGCAAAACACGTGATAAAAATGGGCTAATAGAAAACAAAAAATCAAAACACTTGCTTCAAGTTGCACTAAAACAAGTTTTTAAGACTTTGAATACTTTTATTAAGCATTTTGTCCAGAATTGTAGGCTTCTGTGTTATGTGTTTAAAAGTTGATTTTCTAAAAACTGGTCCTGGATGTTACAATGTGTGCACTGTACATGATTACCATTATCTCATTAGCTATTGTTTTTTTGAGGAACAAGAGATTGGCAAAGGCTAATGTTTAGATGACAAAGCAATTTTCTTGGCCATAGCACAGTTTAAAATTAGGGATGAAAATGCCTGGCTATGCGAGTGTTTTATACGAATACCAGAAGGAAACATACTTTGACAATTAATTAAGAAAGCATTCAAGCTTTAAGGTATAGTTAGCCAAAGAAAATTTAGGACACATTACTGAACATGGCATAAGTTCACAGTGAGACACATAAGGTTAGTTTAAGGGGCATTTTGAAAGCTTCTCAATTGACGTGATAAAATTTTACGCAGCACTAATAAAGGTTAGGTAAGCAATTGGGACCAGAATTATCAATAATCGATCAAAACATGCGCATGCGCAGACAAATTGCACCAATATTCACCTGCCGTACTCTATATCGTCTCTCCTTGTGTACTCTCGCACGCGTTATAGGCATACGTTATAGGTGTAAAGCTAGGTTTTGTAGAATCTTAAAACACATTATTCAAAGAAGTAGCCATGCTTTTAGGAAAAGGGGGGCCAAATACTTATACAGGTAAGCCCAGGCCGCGAGTATGACACGACAAACAAAATAAACGGTATTAATAATAGACCTGGTGCGTTATAGAGTAATTCAAGATATAAACAATAAGGAAAGGTAATAAAATACCCCAGCTAGAAGGAGCATGCCAAAATTAGTGCAATCGCGAAATTTTGTAAGATATGCGGAAAGTAGTCATGCGCATTTGGCAAATTTTGTATGCTTTTGTTAATTTAGATTTGTGCTACATGCGAAAACAAAAGTAGTAACACATTCACAGAAACGCTTGGCAATTTCACTAATTTACTATTATTTTTTCTGGAAGTTACCTTTTATCGCCAATGACAAGAAATTAATCTTGAGCGCCAGGTTAATTTTTTGCTAATTGGGGATAAAAGGTAACTCGAGGTAAATTAGAGGTTTTTAACAAACCTGGACAGTTTTTATAATAAGCTTTTGTATAATACGCTTTTTGTCATTATGAATTTACATGTACATGTCAGTTGTATATGTTAATGTTTCGTTATATTAAACACGAAAATATAGCGATTTAACTAAAATTCCTTAGGTATACACTGCGTGTTGATTAAACGTGTCGCCACAGGATAGCGAATGCATGTTGACAGTTGTGTCAGTATATAAGTTTCATTCTGACGCTTTTAGTCGTTAATACTTTGTTGATAATATAATACTATTTCTACAGAATAATACCATTTCTAAAATACTATTCTACAATACAATTTTACAGTCAAGGGTTTCCCAAATTTGCTGTAATGGATTATTATTCCTTTTCAAATATTTACGCACGTTCTAGTTTTCTCAATGAAGACTCGGTATTTATTGCCGATGAAAACATACATTTTAGAGTTTGGTTTGCTGTATGCATGAAGTTTAAAAAATATGATTAGTTATGAGTGCTCGTGCTTAATTAAGAAATTTATAATTTCCCTTTCATTTGTACATACACTTTCGGGAAAACAAGAAATTTCACACCTTTCCCCCACTAACTTTGGTTTAAATCGCTATATTCTCGCTTGTTGAAGGTATATAGCATTATTATAGATTACCCCTGAGGTACATATAGGCAGAAGTGAATTATATTTAGATCAGTCGTATCTTGTATAATCACTTATGTAGTGTTGTCGTAGATTAACAACACGTACTATGTGTATGGTTTCAGTTATTAGGCATTTGGTAATATGCCCGTGATAGCCACGCCGAGCTCAGAAAATAAATACATAGGTTAATGTTTAGAGAGATTGCAGATAATTTATGTAATACTTAGCTTAATACGTTCTTCACCTAGCTCTCACATGAAACTGGGAACTTCTTATTCTAGGTGAGGTGGATTGTTACACAACTCTTAATTGTGTTTAGTCATGTGTATGTTAAGATAGAAAAAAATAGAAAATTCTATCTGGCAATGACGTAGACAAGGAATTGATTTTTGCCAAAAGACGGCATGGCCATGGGTAAACTATAATTTTCAGCTTAGCATCAAATGTGGTACAACAACTGCCTAAAATAGACAAATTTAGAATTGTTTTTTCTATTTAAGGCAATTGTTTTACCACATTTGATGCTAAGTTGTTTGAAGACTCTGCCACGCTGCTCCCTGGTTATATTGCAAAGTATGTATAAATTTCAGCCATTTACAATTAATTTATACCTTTTCTTTCGTGCATAAAATTTCGTAGAATTTATTAAACTAGTACAGGTGAAATAAACCATTAAATATACCCCGTATATACCCCGCCGAGGGAAAACAAAGAGAACATGCCAAAACATTTAAATTTATATATACTCGTGATAAAAGAGCTAGTCGGAAGGCGGAGATGGGAAGGTCCCCGGTGGTATAAATTGGTAAACAATTCTTTCCTCCTTGGCGCTAATTGAATCTTTAGTAACGGTAATTAACCATCGTATACTTATTGAGCAGTTCGTTGTTCTGGACTTACCAAATTGTATAGTGAATTGGATAATATATTTCTTATCAAACCGGCTGACGATTTTTTTTCCGAATGGGGTTCAGTTCCTTCAGGGATCCCACAGGGAACAAGGACTGGGACCCAGGTTGTTTTTATTGCTCATAAATTACTTGGTTCTTAATAATCTACCAATTCATATTCAATGATCTATTTTTTTATTTCAGTAGTCGTATTTATTCCTATCTTGTTAGAACCTTTGTAATTTAACCTTTAAGGTTACAAAGAAGTGTTAGAGATTATAAATTCTGATAAGGTTATTCAAAGAATTTCTTCTCTAATCTCAATATTATAAGTTGCGCTAGTAATAAATACTTTAAAAATGGGCCGGGATCATGCAGTTTTAAAATTATTTTGAACTTGGAGTTTGAGCAAATTAAATTGTTCGTGTGTGACATACACACATTTAAGTTCATTTGCACTTTTCATTTGCACTATATAAATTACTTAAGTTGTTTAAATTAGTTAATTAGGTAATCATTTAAATGAGTAAATTGTTTTTAACATGAATTATTATTAACCTTCTAATATTCTCTTTGCACACAATTGTACTGAAAGGATCATTATTTTATGATGTTGCCAGGTTGCGTGTATATCACCACGTTTTGGCGCAAAAATATATTTGTTGCAACATGGGTTGGAATTGCCACTCCAAAATATTTTTAATATAAAGAAGAACATAATTAGTGTTTTTGGAAAATAAACCTATAAGGAGCGACCTTCAACAATGTTTGTTAGTATATAGGCGCTTTAATCATAAATAATTTTGGCAGTTTTTCATTAAAATTAACACGGTTACATTGTTTGATGCAGAGGAAATTTAAATAATTCTTCCCTGACAATATCAGGACTTAAAAAACTATAAACTCGGAGTGAAAATGACGTCGATTACAAATCATTATGCTGCTTCAAACTGTGATATGCAAATTTGCGTAAAAGCGATGACCGCTAAGGATGACGGTAGGAGGCTGTATGTTTGTCTTCAAACGGAATTGTTGTCGCCATATGAGCAAGCAATATTTTTTCGAAAGCCAAAAAGCAACATTTTGCATCGACAAATACAATTTAATAATCGGCAAGTTAGTGGCGAAGAAATTTTGTTGAAAAGACGTCAGTTTGTGATAAGGTTTCCTTTAAAATTGTACGCGAAAACCTGACAGGAACTAAAGGAGGTGAGTTGGCTTCACCCGCGATGGGCTGCTTTTTTAAAGTAGATCAGAAGCTCAACTGCTTTTCACGGGAACTTAAGGTTATTTGAAATATATTTTTACAAATGGAATTTTGATCTTTGCGTAAATGACCTATATATAGTTACCCAATATGTTGTTCAATAATTATTTGAAAGGTTTTAGTCTGGCAAAATGTTTTCAATTTTTTTAGCGCGAATATATCTGAATTCAAATGAGTTGAATACAGTAAGAAGAAAATATACGTGTTAATAAGCATCAAAGTAAAAGTACTGATTCCGAGTGATTAAAAATTATATTTACTCAGCCGTGGTTTGTAGCAAGATTAATAATTATTTTCCCATGTGCCAGTTTTATTCCAATAAACCGTTTTTATTGGATAAAGTTATCGAAATGAAACAAGTTTTATTATTTAGAAGATTACTTTTCAAATTCCGGACATAATTTGGGGATATCTCTAAAGCATGCGAAATTCTCTGTACAACGACATCAATTAAACTTTGCTCAACTGGTCATGAAACACGCGCTAATTTAATAGACACTTAAAAATCTGTTGCATTATGTTATACGACAACTAATTCTGGCGAAATTTTTTTCAAAATAAGTTAGACACATGCCCAGTTATTTCTTTTAAGCAAGGAATGCTTCCTAACTATTTTCTGTCATTTTGCATAATTTGCCCACTGATTACCCTCCTGAAGAGTGACGACGGCCCTCAGGCTCAGGTCGAAACGTCGAGAAGTGTTTTGTCTATTTTAGGCAGTTGTTATAACACAATTGATGCTAAGTTGTTTGAAGATGCTGCTACAGTCG